GTTAGGCAGCGATGCAGCTCTGCAATGCAGCAGATGTTAGCAGTGATGCAGCTCTGCAATGCAGCAGACGTTATGCAGCGATGCAGCTCTGCAGTGCAGATGTTATGCAGCGAGGCAGCTCTGCAATGCAGCAGATGTTATGCAGCAATGCAGCTCTGCAATGCAGCAGATGTTAGGCAGCGATGCAGCTCTGCGGTGCAGCAGACGCTCAGAGTTAAGGGAGCGTTTGTGGCTGAGGTCCCCGGTCCCTCTTTCTGGCAGCCATTCCCAGGCAGCTTTGCTGAGCAGCAGGTCGGAGCACACTGAAAGTCAGCTCCCCGCTCGACACATCCTCTAATAGTTGCAGCCCTCCTCACACTTATCTCCTGTCCTGGAAAAGTGGATGGGACAACAGAAACTGCAGACAGAAATGCCAAGACCTTCAGCTTAAGGAGTGGGATGCTCTGGCCTCCTGAAAGTGCCTGGTTATGATTTATCAGTGAGAGAAATGTAATGAGTTAAGAGGTCAGGGTATGATCATGCCAGCTTAAAATCAACATTCAGAGATGTCTCTCCCTTCCCCAGAGCACTCATAGTTGCTCTTCAGAGAGAGAGCAGACCCAACCACTGGTCACGGTGAACAACCTCACATGGCCTCATTCAAGAAACTACCCTTCCAAAGATCACTTATCTGGTTTTCCTAAGAAGGGGAGATGGGGAAGAGCAGGGACTTGTGCCGGAGGGATGGTAACAGACCCCAGTTACCACGCTCAGCCAGGGACTCACCGGATGGAAATCTGCAGCCTGCTGATCACTGTGAGAGCCCTTTCTGGGGTGAGGTTTTCCAAAGGAGGAAAAACAAGCGGTTGTAGTTCTCAGCAGCTGATGCAGATCCCAGACAGCACCGACCAAAGAATAACAGAGCAGAACAGGACAGCAGAGCTTGCTGGCCGCACGCAAAGCGGCAGTGGCCTGAGCTGGCTCAGCCGTCCACTGTCCTCCTGTCCATCCAAACCCATCCCCTCCGCGGCACCAGGCAGCCTCCCTCCCCGTCGCAGCCTGGGAAAGCAGCGCAGGGCTGCCGAGCAAGGAGCCAGGGAAGGTGCCATGGAGCAGAGCCGTCCAGGAGCGCTGCCTGTGCAGAGCAGGCCTGGGAGGCGAGCGGCGAGCCAGCAGCGCGAGCACGGAGATGGAGCTGCCGCTCTGCTTCCTGACCTCGCGGATTTGCTCCCGTAGCGAGGGCTCCTGGCTCCCTTTCAGAGCTGTCTAGGAAAGCCCGGCCGAGAGCTTCCGCCTGGCAGCAGCAGCTGCTCCCAGCCCAGTAGCCCATGAATCCTCCCCCGCCTCCGTGGATTTCCCAGGCAGCCGGAGCAGCCCAGCTTCAGGAAACGAGAAACATCTGCCAGCCAGTGCGGGGAGCAGGGCGAGCGCCCCGCGGGCTCGGCGGGCGCGGGGAGCCGGGCTGGGCGCAGGGGGCAGGGCCCCCGGGCTCCCGCGGGCCCCAGCGCGCGCAGGGCCGCGGCAGCCGCGCTGCCTTGCGGGGCACCGTGCCCGGGGCCAGGGCACTAGGGCAGCCGAGCCCCACTCGGAGACGTCACAGAAGTTACTACTAGACCCGGCTCTGTCCCCGCTTCAAGCTCAGCCTACGCAGAAGAGCCTGGCACCCTGCACAACACACGGATACAGGGTGTGGGGGCCTGGCTGATGACCACGGCTGGACTCACAGCAAAGCCAGGACAGCCTTGAGAAACCCTCCGACTCACTTGGTGTGCGTGGAGGGCAGGAATGTGGAGGCCAGGCCCGCCCAGCACCGCCCACCCTGTCGGTACAGCCTAGCGGAATGTGTCAAGGGAGAGGGATTCGCAGTGGGTCCCAATGCAGTCACCACTAAGGGCCTTGGAGACCCTTCAGGGAGGATCCCCGGGGCTCTCCCTGCTTCCTCGCTCCCCTCATAGTGACTTGTTCCTCCCCAAGCTGGACACCAACAAGCCAGGGGGCAGGTTTCTGTGGAGCGCTGCCATGTGGAGGCCAACAGCAAAGGAGGTTTCACAGCTGCTCTGCATTTCTGAACATACTAACAAGGTATTTCAACCCTGCTTGTCAAGTGGGAAGATCTGCATTTAAAGACATGGGAAATCAGTTCCACCTCTGCAAATCTCTTAAAATACATCGCGGATTGGGTGCCTTTTCTTCCCAAAGCCCTGTCCACATGAGCTGATGAACCCAGCGAGCACAAGTGCTTCCGTGTTGGATTTTCTCCCCCCGGTCAGAGCCACCTTGCAGGCAGATGTGGCCTACTGTGCTCAATGACAACAACACTTGTCTTAACCACCCGTCAGTGCTCTGGGATGACACATCCATGATTCGGGAATTCTGCTCCGTGATTTTACATTGCTGACAGGGTGGACCTTGCTGCTGCCCCGGCTCCTCCACTCGCTGGTGCCCAACACTGTCCCCAGCCATGTGGGCACAGCCCTTGCAAGGACTGCAAGATCATCTGCAGCGGCTTGAAACGCCACCTTTCTTTCACACAGGATCAAAACGCTGGTGTTCTCCATGGCCCAAAGGAGATTAGGGAAATGGGGCTGGCAAGCCGAAGCTCTGCTGTGAAGCACAGCCTCTCCAGCGCTTCATTTCAATTTACTTGTTGCTTTTCACATTAACAAACAAGCGGGCTGCAAATCTATCCCGACGTGCTTGGCTGTTGGCTCGCTGGCTTTATATTCACAAACTCCAGACGATGCGGCCCACAGCTGAAAGGAGACAGGCTTGCCAAAATGAAACAAGAGCTGCAAATGGTGGCCCCACTTTGGAGAAACAACTTGGAGATCATAAATGTCTTACACTTAGGGGGAAAAAAAACTCCAAGAAGAACAGAACGGTTCTCTCCAGCCTAGTCCACAATCTGCTGTCCCGGAGCTTTCTGTCTCAACTGATATTCAGCACGGGAAGCACATTCCCCCTTAGCCAATACAGGTCACCACACTGATTGCACTCAAAAGAAAGGTGAGCACATGTCCATGGTGGACCACCTAGGGGCAGCTCTATGTACGCAAGAGCAGCAAGAGTAAGGAAAAAGGAGATGGAGTTTTGCTGGAAAGCCTGGGTAAAGGTGAGTGCCTGAAGGCCAAAACGTGGCTACAAAGCAGGCTGGGACACCAGGGGATGAATAGGCAATGCAGACGGAGCACTCATCTGGCAGCCAGAACCTAGGCCTAGTGTTGACTGTGCTGGTGCATGTGTGAAATTGGTGTGGGGGAGGAAAAGCTCCCACTGCTGAGATGCAGATGACTGGAAACCACCCCAGCTCCTCTGCTTTCATCTGCTCTCCTACCTCCTGGAGCCAAGCACGTGGTTTGGAGGCAGACACGTCCCCCCCTTGGGCAGGCAGCACTCAGCATTACCCTAGAAAAGCAACTTCTGCTCAGACCTCTCAGCTGGCTTTGGAAAAACAAATAAAGAAAATGCTTTGCATGATGGAGAGGCCCGGACAGTAACAGAACTCAAGAGGCAGCATTTGGTCTTACTTTGCATCAAGATCCCATTTGTAAATCATCAGTGGAAGGCAGTATGATACATCTTCAGCATACAAGAGAACGGACAGGTACCCTAGGAAAGTTACAGCAAGACCCCCGTGACAGATAAGAACAATTGTAACTACTACAGTGTGCTGGCAATCATGCAGCCCAGCTCTAAGCAATCTTTGGGCTTGCTGGACTCAGTACCAGACTGTAATGCATGCCCCGCCTCACCAAGAATATGTCCACAAGAAATAAGGCACAGTAGAGCTTAAACTTGGACAGACATGTAGGCAGCTCCTACGTTTCTCTGGAAACACAATTATTAACAGGGATAGAGCGCAAACTTTGGGACAGATGATGCTAAGTAATGGGTGGCAGTTACAAAAGACACTGTCTCTCAGCTGGTTATTCTTCAACAGCCTTTCCCAAGTATCTGAGAAGGGACAAATTGGATCTGTTCCCCCTTGTAGCCACGGAGCTACAAGAAATGCAGCAGCCAATGCTCTAGGAGGGGATGCTGGCCACGCACAGTGACGTTTGTAACGCAAACTCCATCACTCTACTCATTTCGGAGACAGACAAGGCAAGCAAGCCAAGGGACTGGCCTGAAATCATTGAGCAGCTGGATGGCCAAGCTGGGAATTAAATCCAGCCCACAGGGCTCCCCATCCTGCGTCTTGAGCGCTCAGCCCCACAGTGTTCCCGGCTACTGTGGAGACGCGGAGAGGAAAGTGCCATCCGTGCACAGGCCTGGAGGGGAAGGCGCGGGTCTCCCGCCCGCGGAGCGGAGCTGCCCTCGCAGGGATGCTTGGCACAGAGAGCGCATCCCGCAGGGAGGCCGCCGTGCCCGCGAGGAGCCCGGCTCTCCGGTTATCCTCAGGAAACCACAGCGGTCACGAGCGCAGGGAGCGCGGCGGCAGCAGGCAGAGGCGCAGAGTGCGAGCGGGGACGGGAAGGGCCCACGGCGCTGACAAACAAAAGGCCATGTTTAACGCGCTCTGTGGGGGCCGCAGGCGGCGTTTTGCAGCCCAGACCTCCTCTGCCTCGGGAAGACGCTTCCTCCCTCCCGAGCGGCCCCAGGCAGCGGCAGGCAGCGAGCAGCAGCACCAGCGCGGACAGCTCAAAGCACAAACGCGCTGCCAGGTTCCCACTCTCCGTGCAGGAGGGTTAACAGACAGCGAGGGCCGTTTCTGCAGCAGGGCAAGAGGCAGGGCCAGACGGAGACATATGTTCCCGTTCCCAAAGAACAGGCTCGCGTGCCGGCAAGGGGACGGCACGCGCCGCCGGGCTGGCAGCGCCGGCCGCGCCACAGGACGAGGGCCAAATGCCAAGGCCTTGGAGAGCAGCAGCTGCCGCCCCGCAGTGCCACGCACCCGGCCAGCAAAGAGCCGCTCCGTATCGTGGAGCAGGTTGGCCTCGGGTGTTTGTTAGGGCTGTTTTCTGGTGCTGTCGTGGATGTATCTTAGACACTACGTGTCTCTAAAACGTTATCACACTGGCTTCAAAAGAATCTCAAAAGAATCCCCTCATGGAGGGATTTTCAGCTGGTCAGGGAGATTTGCTGAGGTGTGCGCACACGATAGACTGGGCATGTTGTGAAGGACAGGGGCCTGGCTGGAACCAGGCCCACCATTTCTCACAGCTCCAGAAGTGGGGAAGCCACTGGCTCTCAGTGACCTTGCACATCCCACACGGAGAGGACCGCTACACCCGTCCTGACCTGAGCACGAGCCCTGCGTATTGCAAGGAAAAGAAATAGCCTGCATTCAAGCAGCGCATTCCTGCTGCAAGATTTCTGTTCTCTTTTCCCTCCCCATTCTTCCCCCTCCTCTGAAACAACTGCTGACAAGGATCATTTCAAAAGCTAGTTTCAGGAAGCCCATCTAAGCCATTTTTATTTCAAGGAATTTGCAATGGAAATAGGCCTAACTGTTCAGCTTCCTGCTTGCTCTAAAAAATCTTAACACATACACATTTTTATAGCAAAAAAATGGATAAAGAAGCAGAATTTCTGCAACTGAGAAATTTCAAAAAATGTTTTGGTAATGCTTTTGATTTTTGAGTCCTTTTAAAAAATGCTTCTCAGAAAACGACCTTTTAAAAAGGCCATTTGAGGGAGGCAACATAATACTATGAGAGTCCTGGTAAACTCTGGTCTCAAGGAACAAAATGGTACATGAAGCACATGCCTTATCTTACCACAGCCACTGCAGCAGAAAGGTCTGGAAAATAAGCCGGAGGAACAGGGAAAAAAGTGGAAAGAAGTGCAACGTGGGATAGTGATGAGTGTCTTAGCAGACCACTGGCCTGGGCTCCTTACAAATCCCAGTGCCACTCACCCTTTGGATGGCTAACCAGCCCGGCAGAGAAATAGGGTCCTCTCGTCTGGGGATGGCTCCAGGCCCCCCTGGAAGGAGAAGAAACACAGCGGAGTGAGAAAACGACAGGCCCTGGCTCTGATTCTACACAAATGGTCTAGTGTTTGTGCCAGCCACGTCCCCAGCGCTGCACGCAGAGCCGGGATAGCTCTTTCCCAAGCGCGGGGCTCCTCGATGCGGTCGGCGGGAGGCGCCGGCGCGGCCCGGCACAGCGCTGCGCAAGCACCCGCGCTTCGCTGCAGCCCAGGGCTCCCTCCCCGGGCCACAGACACCCTGTGTCCCCAAATACCCACCCAGTGTCCCCTGTTTTCAGTGCGCCTGGACTTGGCGGCATTTGTCTGTTTAGCGACCTCCAACAGATCTCTCTTCCAGGCACTTGTCTGGTCTCCACTGAACCTCATCCGTCCAACAAGGAGCCCCACAGGTCTAGCAGCACCCCCATGGTGCTCCTTCCCCCGGGGCACACTGTTAGCCCAGGGACACGTGCAGTCCTGCTGCAGCTGCTCGTTGGGGCGCTCCGCTCACGGACCGGCCGGCAGCCCCGCTCAGCAAGTCCCTTCTCTGCAGCCCGTGCCTGGGCTGCCCTCCTCGCTCCTTCTCCCTGACAGGTGCCCGGGAAAGCGGGGCGCAAGGCAGGAAGCCCGGGTGTGAAACGAGTCGAGTCCCAGGGGTGCAAAACGAGTCAAGTCCTCCAGGGCAGCGCACGGCTCCGCGGGGGCAGCCCCTTGCAGCGGCGCGGGGCACCGTGCCGGAGCCTGCTCCGGAGCCGCTGGAATTCCAGCCTCCTCCGTGGAGCCCATAGCAAGGTGAGGCTTGGAGCACAGTGATGGAGGCCACCAACACGGAGGGCACCATGCACGGCTGCTGAGGGGCCTGCGGGAGATCTCAGACACCTCTGAATCGACCCCTTGCTGCAGGGATGAGTGGATCCGATGTGCCCGGGTCTGAAGCCAGGCAGGACCATCCATGGGTGGTGCAAGCAATTACTGAGCAGAGGCTTCACAGACAGAGCAAGGCCTGAGGGCTAAGTCATGAGATCTGAGCTCGGGTCCCGGATTACCCAGCCCCGCTCCGCTGCTCACGGTAAATCAGCTACAAGAGGATCTCTCTGCTGGCGTTCCCTCCCTCTGCAGCAGCCTGGTTTGGAAAAAGCAAAGCGACGTTGCTGTGGGTGGGCTATTGGCATGAATCACCAGCACAGCACAGGTCTGCTGCAAATGTGGCCCACGTGTACAGCCTCCACGCTGAAGAGGCAGGAACCCTGGACTCCAGAGTGACAGCTGAAAGGCCACCACGCAGGGACTCCGTCCTGTGCAATGGTACTGTCCTATCTGCGCTGCACATGTAGAGGCATCCACATAAGGATGGATTCCTCTTCATCTCTGAGTCACCTCCATGCAGGTTTAGGTCCTCTATATATCCCAGATGGAGACTGTTCTCCACAGAGAACTCACAGCACAAACAAATCCAGAGAAACCCAACCCTGGCTTTGCCAGGAGGAACCTGCAGCCGCTAAGTGACTTGCTCACGCTCACACAGGAAGCTCTTGGTACTGCTGGGGATTTCTCAGCGCCCAGGTTCCAGCCTCTGCTGCAGACTGTGCTTCCCATCGGGGCTGTGGAGGGGATCCCAACGCGGGGCGTCCCGCACATCAGCTCTGCCACGGCCTCCAGCATCTACTGGCAGAAGTGCATGGTCAGCACTGGGGATGGGAATTTCCTTCCAGAGCTTCCTTAGGACCCTGCAGCAACAGCCACATGCAGGATCTCGGCAGGCATAAAGCCAACATCCGAGGGCACGTTAAGGCTGGAAAGAAAACACAGGAAAACAAGACACTAACCCTGACTCTACCTCACTGTGGAAGATAACTGAAGCTTGACAAGTCGATTAACAAATATACAGAGCCACTCTGAGGGCAGCAGAGCTGCTGAGGACCCTATGATGAGGCCTAGGGTGTTGGGAGCTACCTCTTCTGGAGCTCCCCGGAAATCTGGGGAATCTTAATTTTCCATGAAAACCTAATGCTAAGTAAGTGGTCACGCAGTCCCAGCCCTGGCCTCCCTGCTCCAGGGACTCCTGCAGACCTCTTCTCCCCATCTGTGATGCAATTTGCTTATTGTCCTACCCTGACCTACAATTCATGAGGGAAAGGGCAACACGGGGCCCTGATCCTCACTGGAGCAGCATGAAAGTACTGGCAAATGCTCCCCTTGCTTTATGGTAACCACACTTCCTAGTGGGAAAGGCATGCAGAGAGGAAGCAAGTGAGCACGCAGGCACTGCTGCGAGCACTGCTCCATCAAGGGCACGTTTCCCCAACACCCCAAGCTTTGGGAACGACAGCTCTCCGGGGAAAACAGTCGGACAGAGCATTCATGAAGCAAATGGGCAAAACAATCCCCAGGGGAGTTTGGACACAGGCTGGAAACAGGGAGAAGAAAAACATTCAAAGTCTTTAGAGAAAAAAAAAGGGGGGTTCGGAGAAGAAAAGTGTTTGAGTCAACACGGCACCCGCCCGCAGGCCGGTGCGGGGCAGCAGTCGGTCCCGCTCGGGCAGGTACCGGCGGGTCAAACACAGCAGGCGCTTACGAGCAGCTCAGACAGGATTTCTTGTTCCCTCCACCTAATTCTTCAGCACTTGGTTTCTGCTGAGAACATACAAAGAAGGAGATCAGGCAGAGCAGAGCCTACAGATCTGCAGCATGAGCTGGAAAACTTAGAGCCGGCAGGGAGCAGAACGGAGCAGCATGAGCCTCCAGGTCCCCTTCTAACCTCAATGTCCCTCTTTTCACACCTGGCAATATCCATCGACCACAGCTCAAGTCCTGTACGGCTAACTCCCCAGACGAACCCCTCGTTGCACCAAGGAAAGGTCCCACACATGAGGGACAAAATGAGGTGCAGGCCAGTGCTGCCTGTGAAGCCAAGGTGAAACTTGCGGTGCAGATTTCCACACGGACAGGCAGACCCTCCCTCTCCTTCTCTGCCTCCCTAATCCCATCTCTACAAGCCACTGCACCACACACTTGAGCGTGCTGCAAATGCTGCTCCTAATTAAAAAGCACTGGATCACAGAGCCTGGGCCACAGGGCACTTGCCAGGGAACACGTGCTTGGTAACTGCGCCCCACGGCACACTGCCCCACGTGCCCCACAGAGGGGAGGAGCAGCAGCAGCAGGCGGGCTGCGCTGCGCACAGCAGCCCCGCTCCCCGGCGGCTCCCATCGCTCCAGTGTCAGGCAGGACGGAGCCAGGACCCTGCAGCTCAACACTTCAGGCTGAAGGGAAGCACTGAGCAAAACGAGCAGGAGCTGCTAAGACAGAAAGACAGGGGGTATGTAAGTCATTCGGGGAAATTAATACAAAGCATGAGATGTTTGGCACGAGACTGATCTTAATTACACGAGCCAAGATGAAGTCGGCAGCCAGACGACTAACGCAGGGATTGAAAGTGGCGCTGCTCGATTTCACAGACACCAGCACAGGCACAGGCACTTTCTTGCCTTGTAACGTTTACCAGCCTAGACAATTATAGTGTTACCAAAAATATAAGGGGAAAAAAAAAAAGGAACAAAAGAAAAAAGAGAGAAGGACTTCTGAAATTTAAACTCAAATATACAAAATACCCGTCTCAGTACCAACCGGGTAGAAGAGCAACGTTTAACCTGCTCAGATAATCTCACTGGGACAGCATAAGAGATGGGCGAGCATGAAGGGTGTTACAGGGGACCCTCGTGTAGCCCGTATTTTTTTCACTCTCTTCAGTGGCAGCCTACTTGGGATGCACAGCACAGTCTCATCTTTGCTGGGTATTCTGCAAACACCAGAAAAAGGGTTCCTACTCCAAACTTCCCCTTGGAGAATGACTTTCCTTTTAAGCCTTCCTTCCTTCCACAGAAGGGTATTCCCCCTCTGCATGTGACACTGAAATCTTTGTCTTTAGAAGCCAGCAGTTTCCCTACGGCCTTGCAGCAATGAAGTCCCCAGGCTATAAAATAACTTCTTCTCGCCACGCTCCTATATGAGGCCTCCCAGTTTCTCTCCACATGTCTGTCTCTCTCACTGGCCTTTCAGACTTTCTGCTCTGGCTGCACTGGGGTCCTGGGAACCCCCCGGGGTCTGCACACTGCAGAGACACATTTGTAAAAGAAACATAGTTCCACTCATAGGATTTATTCTTGGGCTTCATAAGGCTCACGCGAACAGTTCTATATTTGTCCCAAAACGCATAACCACAAAAGGCAAACTTGGCATTTCAAAGCCAACTTCACCTGACAGTCCTAAGCCACTGTGCCTGTTTATTATGTAAAAGGCACAAGAGTTTTAGCTGAGGTGATCTGGCTGCTGTGAGGAAATGAAGATGGTGCTTGGGAGATCCTGGAATGGAGCTCTTGCTGCTGCAAGCAGCAATCTGACTATTTGCCAGGCCTCCGTTGTCCTTTCTTCCAGGAAAAGGATTTGTCCTGCTTATCGGTGTTAAAATAACAGCTAAAAGACCCACTGCAGGCCCAGGAGGAGCTTGTCATGCCTTAAGAGCTGTAAATAGCCAGAGGCGGTGGAGGGTGGGAAGCAGAACACAACCAGAGATATTGCAGAGCTGGACGGGTCCTCCCAGCTCAAGCGTGTCTCAGGACAGGGTCCAAGTGCCGAGCTCCCAGCTCTCCTGGACACACCGCACAAGCGGCCCGTCCACCAGCGAGCGGACGCCCTCGGCACTGGCAGCGGCTCCCGAGGACGTGCCGAGCACCTCCGGGGGCTTCTGGAAGGGGCCGGCAGTGGAGCCGGGCGATGCGAGCCGGCACCGTCAGGACACGATGCAGCCGGATGCGACGATGCCAACACCCCTGCTAGCTCCTGCTCGCTGCCTCTTGTCAAGGCACGATCTGCCTTGCGAGCTTCAGGCCGGGCTCAGAAATTACTCACAAGATATGAAAATGAGCTCCCCGAGGAAACAGGCACTAAGAACAATCACAGACATCCTTGCTTGGGAACAAACAGCTCTTTTAGTGCTTTTTTTTTAAAGTTAGCAGAGAA